CCGAAGTGGTACCTATTTATCTACTTGCAATGTCTTGCTTTCGAACTGCTAGGTTGGCAGGAGCTGGAACTAGAGATGGGAGCTCACTCCATCATGCGGCACCCGGGTCTCAAACTGCTGAACTACTGACCTTCCACATATTTCACACATACATAAACACAAAGTAGTCTTTTTGAAGTACTGAAGGACGAACAGATATTCCTAGCAAAGCCTGTTGGTGAAACGCGGGGAATTTTGGGAATTTTAACTGAGCAATAAAATATGATGTTACCTGATTTTGCACCATTGGCCTCGGCCTTATTTTGTATCTCCTGTGACTGGTGCGGCCCTTTTATTTTCTTCTTGTTACAAGGGAGCGCTTAATACAGACTGAGTGCTGCCAGCATGGCTTCAGGGCTTTTTGTGGCTGCTGGACAGAGAAGAAGTGATAAGGCTTTTGAGAATCTAAATATTAGGACAGATAGAGAGGTTCCTCAGTGGAACAGGCTTCCTTGGGAGGTGGTGGGCTCCTTCTTTGGAGGTTTTCAAACAGAGGCTAGATGGCCATCTGAGTCTGCCAGCAGTGCGGATTCTGTGAACTTAGGCAGATCTTGAGAGGGAGGGCAGGAAGGGTTGCCTCAGTGCTTAGTTCTCGTGGCCCTTTTTTACATGCCCAGGGAAATGCTGATTGCCACTTTGGGGTCAGGAAGCAATCGCTGCGGGTGTGGAGGGGGGAGGTATTTGTGAGTTTCCTGCATTGTGTAGGGGGGTTGGACTAGATGACCCTGTGGGTCCCTTCCAACTCTATGATTGTACAGTGTGTTGTTTGTGTCCCTAGGGGGCGCTGGCTGAGAGGCAGCATGGCGGCATGGACCTGTCCAAATTTACTGGTGACGACAGGCTGGTGAGTCTTTCCCTGTCAGCTTTCTCTGCCTTTTCAAGCCCTTCTGGGTCTTCACTCTAGATACAGAGTAGGGGTCTAAGAACGGACAAAGGAGCGGATCTGGCAGCTTGTGGGTTTCCTATCCTGCTACAAAAGGGAACAGGGTACTGAAAAGAGTTGGGCTGGGAGACAGGATTCTCCCTCATGGTTTTCAGTGGCTAGTGGGAAGTCTTTAATGCAGAACCTTCCGAAGCGAGGGCTACCCGAGAGCCAGTCTGCAGTGTTGCTCGTTCTGCAAACACCTCTGTATGGTCCATTTGCCCTCTGCTAATGGGTTGTATAGGTCAGGGGGTCCCGACCTTTTTGGTCCTGTAGCCACCTCATTGGGGGGGGGGGGGGGCAGCCACAAAATGGCTGCCACGGCGTCTCTTCAGTCACACAGTAAAGTCCTTTGTGTCGTGGCGGCAGCAGCTGCCAAAGCATCGTTTAAAAAAGATCTGTACAGCCAGTAAAATCTCCAGTGGCCAGTCAGAAGCCTTGCTGGATAAAAGCCCAACCCACTTTCTAAGAATACCCCATAGGTGCCGGGAAAGATGGTGGACACCCTGTTGGGGACTCGTGGCATAGGTCAATCTGAGGGAAGGCAGCAGTGGGGCCCTTGAAGCAGGCCGTCTGCCTGTTCCTCCTGTTGCCGTGACTCCCAACTTCACGGTCTGCAACCTCCCTTCCTTTCAGAGTCCCCCACGAGGATTAGTCGCCGCGTACAGCGGTGAGAGTGACAGCGAAGAGGAGCTGGAGAAAGCAGCCGATCGGGAAGAGAAGCTCACCGATTGGCACAAGCTGGCCTGCCTCCTGTGTCGCAGGCAGTTCCCCAGCAAAGAGGCGCTTATTCGTCACCAGCAGCTCTCGGGGTTGCACAAGGTGCGTAGTGGGAGTTGCAGACCCGCATTGGGAGAGGGGTGGCGCTTCGCGGTCTTCTGGGAGGGGTGCCAGCGCCTGTCTTTGTCTCAGTCTTCACGTTGCCGCCTCCTCGTTGCAGCAAAATCTGGAAATTCATCGGCGGGCCCACTTGTCCGAGCAGGAGCTTGAGGCGCTCGAGAAAAACGACATAGAGGTACGGATGGTGACGGGTAGGTCCTGGCGGTAAAGAGAGCGATAACCGCGCAGCACCCCCCCCCCCAAGTCCCAACACACTTTGTTTTGTGACCCCACAGCAAATGAAGTATCGGGACCGCGCAGCTGAGCGAAGGGAGAAGTACGGTGTCCCTGAGCCGCCGGAACCCAAGAAGAGGAAGTACTCGGCGGTGATGCCAGCCACTGTGTAAGCGCTGCTGTGTCCCCCATAGCGGGACCAACTGAGGTTATCCCAGTCGAAGGGCTGCTTTTCTCAGTGGGGGGTTTCATCCCCTGTACAACATAGCTACATTTGTTGGGTGCTGCATCCAGGGGTTGGAAAATGGTCAGTAAAATCAGTAAAAGTCAGGGTTTTTTTCATCTTGGACAATAATTCGTCAGGTTTTTAAAAAAATTGTCAGTAAAGTCAGTATTTCTTTGACTTTTGTTAATGCAGTTTGTGTCTTTCCATTTTCATTACTCCCATTTTTGGGGAAACATGACGACTTCCCAGTGAGAAGACAGATTGTTTTCAGTTTAGTTAGGAAGTGCCGGTCTTGGTTCCTAAGGGTAAAAGTGATTTGGTGAAATCATCCACAAAGTATAGGAACATAATTAACCTCTTAAACCTCTTAGGTCAGCCAAAATGATAGCACACAAGGTAAACACACATTAACCCTATAATGACTGGATTTTAGACCTTGCAACACACATTTCCAACAGAAATTTTTGATGAAGTCCTAGTTTTACATTTAAAACGCTAGCTTATCAGTAGGTTGACATTAAATTGTTCAGTAATTTGTCAGTATTTGGTCAGTGTTTTTTGGAACGTTGGTCAGTAAAATCAGCATTTTTGACCCTCTGACTAGTTTCCACCCCTGTGCATTCCACCCTTTGCCCCCAATGCTGTGCGTTTCTTTGAGGGGGAACATGATGGCTCTCTTGAAGTATCTGAAGGGCTGTCACTTAGAGGAGGGCAGGGAGCTGTTCCTGTGGGCAGCAGAGGAGACGACTCCCAATCATGGGTCTAAATTAAGGGTGGGGAGGTACTGGCTGGATATTGGGGAGAACTTCTTGACAATCAGAGTTGTGCAACAGCAGCATCAGCTGCCCCCCCCCCCCCCCCCGGCCGTCTTTAAGCAGTGGCGGGACAAACACTCATCAGGGGTGCTCCAGGCTGATTCTGCATTGAGCAGGGGGGGTTTGGACTAGATGGACTTTATGGACCCTTCCCACCCTGTGATTCTATGATTCTTTGGCCTCTGTTGGCAAGCAGAGGAGAGTCCCCCGCCTTTCCCATTAACTTTGTCCTTCACTCCTCCGTTCTCAACAGGGATTTTGAGCAGCCGACGCGGGACGGTCTGGGCAGCGACAACATTGGCAGCCGCATGCTACAGGCCATGGGCTGGAAAGAAGGAAGTGGGCTGGGCCGCAAGAAGCAGGGGATCGTCGCTCCTATTGAGGTACCGGCTTCCACCGGGGGAAATTCCTCTCAGGTTACTCTGGACAGAGGGAAGCGTCTTCACATTTTGGCTGAGGGGCCATCGATCTCTCTCGTTGCAGACGCATACCCCCAGATTGCTTTTATGGACACCAGATGTCCTTGAGCAGCTCTGCTCCTACCGAGGGTCTTTGAGAGGTTGTCTTTTGCAGACACAAGGTTCTTCTGTCCCTCCCCCTAGAAAGGGGAGGCATCGTGATAGCTGGGGAATCAGGGGAGCCGAGACAGATTGGCCACTGCTTGAGGAGAAGGGGACACGGGGGCTGTGCTGCAGGGAAAAGATGATACGTAAACAGGCAATAGGGTGATTGTCATGAAGGCAAGTTGGCTGTGGCTGCCATACAACTGATTTCAATGTTATTTTTTTAATTCTTAAATTCTGTTTATTGTTAAATTCTCGTTCGTTGTCATTTTAGTTACGATCTATGTGTGTAACCCGCCCTGAGCCCACTAGTGAGGAGGGCAGGATAAAAATTGAATAAATAAATAAAATCCCAAAACTCGAAGGCAAAACATGGCGCTAGAGCAGGCGTCCCCAAACGCGGAGCATGTTTGCACCTTTACTGTTTTGGGAAGAGGGCACGGGCACTCAGCACAAAATGGCTGCCATGGAGTGCGAAGGGTCAGTCAGAAAATGGCTGCCATGGAGGGCTAAGGGTCACTCAGAAAATGGCCGCCATGGGGTCCTGGGACCAATTACGTCAAGTTGGGAAACTGTAATCTAAGCAGTCTCCTGCTAGGAAGTCCGTTATTTTCAGCTTCTCCTCCCCCAAGGATGGGAAGAAAGCCAGGAATTGGCTCTTTCGTTGGGAGAAGAGATGTTTTGGCGAAGGAGAAAATGCACGAAACCCACTGGTGCGCTCAGGGTTCTAGAGGATAGGTTAGGTTATTTCTAAGTATTAAGCTCGTATCTGTAGTCATCTCCTTTTGGTCTCTCTTTTTTTCCTCCCCCAGGCCCAAACACGGGTGCGTGGTTCCGGCCTAGGCGCGCGCGGGAGCTCCTACGGGGCAGTAGCGTCAGAGTCCTACCGGGAAGCGTTGCACAAGACCATGCTGACTCGTTTCAACGAGACGGAATAAGGGACTCTGGGAAGAGCCGCCACCCCCTGTACAGTATTTTGCTGCTGACTCATCTCCCCCCTCCCCCCAAAAAACAAAACCCCACAGACACACGCTGTCTTTCCACAATGGTCCTTTTGGTGCAGTTTCTTTTTTTAATTAAATGTTGAAACGGACACTAGAGTTCGGTCTGACATCGGTTTCTGAGACAACGAATCCCTCCGTTAGGCATCTCGCTCTCGTGTACTGTTTGTGTGCAAAGAGTTCAGAAATAACACCCATCAGGTGCGGCAGCGTAATCTCTGGTGCGACCGGCTCGGGCAAGAAGCAGGAGACACACAGGTTAATCAAACTGGAGTCCGTCGTAACCCCTGTCTTCCGGGAATCCGTCTGCGGTGCCAGCTTTGCAACCTGCCTTCAGTAATGCTCGGGCCAGTGAGGAAGAGGTCTTTGTCCACACAGCAGGTGGGCAGCGTTGGAGTCCTAGAGCGTGCAGTGCAGCCCTTCCACCATCTCTACATAATGAGGTTCTGCATAGAAAGGGAGATAAGCAGAAAACACTAGTCTGTCTACACCCCCCCCCCCCAAAAAAATACACTCAAATGTTCATTTTTTCCCCCATCTAAGAGGAAGATACAGTTGTTTCGGGTCTAAGCCCCACCTACCTTCATCAGGTCGGATGTAACCGTGCCTGATCAGGAAATCGAGAGCCACCATGGCACAGTTGGGTTTGAAGTCTGGAGAGCCAATGGCCTCTTTCACCTAGAACAGGAAGAAACCACACAGCTCACAAATGTGGCACGTTCACCGCTGCGCCTCACCCCCTGGGAAGAGTTCCGGAGAAGTGAAACACCTGTATGCTATTGTGATATTTTAGTTGATCAGAGATTGCAGGGGGTGGGGAAACAGTGTGCAATACCTTTGAGAGCCAGTTTGTTTGTAATGGTTAAGAGTGGCGGACTCTAATCTGGAGTTCTGTTATGTTCTCATGTTCTTAGAACCGGGTTTGATTCCCCACTTCTCCACATGCAGCTGCTGGCGTGACCTTGGGTCAGTCACGAATAATTTCAGAACAGTTCTCTCAAGAGCAGTTCTCAAAAGAGCTCTCTCAGCCCCACCTACCTCACAGGGTGCCTGTTGGGAGGGCAAGGGAAAGGAGATTATAAACCACTCTGACATTCCAGGTGAAGGACAGAGTATAAATCCAGCTCTTCTAGTATGGATGCTTCTCCATGCTCCAGAGCTGTACCCAAACTGAATGTTAAAAGGGGTGGTGGTGGGGAGAGAATATTTCAGGCCAGTGATGGTGACGTCACTTGTCTTGTTTCCTGTGATCAATTGGGTCTTCCCACTATGAAATTGCACATTAGCCTTCAGGGATGCAGGAAGAAGAGACGGTTCACTTAAATGATGCACTCGGTAAAGAGTCAATGGAAGCCAGGTTGCATCAAATTATTTAGTTTATAGGGAGCAGCAAACATTATGGCCTGATCTCCCCCCCCCCAAATGTGTTTCACCGATTCCTCCCCCCCATGCTTACAGACTTCAGGCTGTTCTACCAGGAGCAGCATTTTGGGCTACAGTGAGAGGCAGGTGAGGAATTCACACTCAGTGGACAAAAATCACTTGTGGATCCCTGCCATGGCTTCTGGTTTAAGATAAATAGGAAAGACCACATCCATGGTTGTAGAAAAAAGTCCAGTACCACCTTAAAGACCTAATAAAATTTGTGGCAGGGTCATGTACCTGAAGAAGTGAGCCAGTGATTCACAAAAGCTCACCCTCTGCCGCAAATATAGTTAGTCTTTAATGTGCCCCTGGACTCTTGCTCTTTTCTACTGCTACGGACAGAAGAAGAAGAAGAGATTGGATTTTATACCCCCTGCCCTTCACTCGGAGTCTCAGAGCGGCTTACAGACTCCTTTCCCTCCCCCTCCCCACAACAGACACCCTGTGAGGTAGGTGGGGCTGTGAGAGCTCTGACGGAAACCGCTCTCTTTCAAGGACAGCTCTTATCAGAACTATGGCTTGCCTGTCCAAGGTCGTCCAGCAGCTGCAAGTGGAGGAGTGGGGAATCAAACCCGGTTCTCCCAGATTAGAGTCTACACACTTAACCATGACACCAAACTAACACAGTTAAGTCATCTTGATCCATATCCATGGTTGAATATTTGCCCCTCAGTGGAACAAACCGCCTAAAATCCAGGCACCGGGAACTTAAAAGGTAAAAAGTATCCATCTTGGAGTTCAAGTTTAGTAATCCTCAAAAAGCAGCCTATGGATTGAACCAGGGGTCCCCAACCCTTTTTTTTAAGCATGTGGGCACCACTGGGACTCTGATACAAGGTTGTGGGGGCAACCACAAAATGGGCAGCAGGAGTTGTGGCACTACACACAAGGGCAGTCCACGTGCAGAGGATGAGCGTACTTTTTAAAAAACGCATTGGGGAAGAGGAGCAAGAGGGAATGAAGCCAACGCTGATGGCGGCTGCCACCAAAACATCATTTCAGTTTGCACGGCTGGTCAGATCTCCAGTGGCCAATGAGAAACCCTGCTGCACAGCACAGCAGCCACACCCACTATCTAAAATACTGTGAGTGCTGGGCAAGGCTCCCTCTAAGCTGTGGAGTCTTGTGAGGAAAATTCTTCTTTGTGAGCTACCGGCATTCAAGTTGTGAGCGAGGGATTTGTCTGCTGCATCAATTAGTTCGCTCTGGAGCCCTCCTTCCCGAGCGAAGGCAAAAATGTGAGCTGGAGGCTAAAGAGCTGTGAGCTAGCTCACACTAACTCAGCTTAGAGGGAACACTGGTGCCGGGAAAGATGCCAGTGAGGGCCATGGCATCCCTGGGCTAGACCGAGTGAGCACACGACACCCTCATCCACCAGAGGAATCCCGAGGATTGCCGGCAAATCTGGCTTGATGGCAGGAATTTGAGTCTTTTAAAATTCAAAGTTTCTCTATGCCTGCCTCTCTTCCCTGGAACTGAAGTTGTAAGGTGGGCAACACTATAAAAACAAACATTAAACGCTTCAAAGTGTGTTTAGGAGAAGAGAAGAGATTGGATTTATACCCCACCCTTCACTACCCAAAGGTGTCTCAGAGTGGTTTACAATCTCCCCTCCCCACAACAGACACCCTGTGAGGTCGGTGGGGCTGAGAGACCTCTAACGGAAACTGCTCTTTTTCAAGAACAGCTGTGCCAGAACTATGCCTTGCCCAAGGTCATACAGCAGCTGCAAGTGGGGGAAATCAAACCCGGTTCTCCCAGATTAGAGTCCGCGCACTTAACCACTGCACCAAACTGAATCTGGTTTAGATCAGCGGTTTATTTCCCATTAACAGGCTTTCCCATCTGCCCAAATCCAGGCTGCTCCAAGAGTCCTCCAGGAGGTGTGAAATCTTCCCTGCCCTTTCCGAAGAGGCTGCCTGTGAGCTTGGAGCGGCCACCGAATCACTGCAGAATGTGCTTGCAGAGGTGCACTGCCAGTAGACCTGACAGAGGAGGGCCAGGCTGCCCCACAGGGATATATTTTCCTAGTTTCCTACCCTTCCCCCTTGCCTGAAACATTCTTCATTTCACAACTGGACTTTATCCAGCTTTATAAACATGGGGAAGAAGACACCTAGGAGAGGCATTCTGCCTCATTGCCCTGAGAATGGCCAGAGGACTCAACAGCTATAAAAGGGGATTAGATTCATGGAGGAGAAATCTTATCAGTGGCTACTAGCCATGGTGGCTGAGGGGAACCTTCCGCATTCAGAGGCACTAAGCCTCTGGATCCCAAGGCCAGGAGGCAACATCAGGCCATCGCCTGGGCCACTATGCCAACCAAAGGAACCGGTTGGCCACTGGGTGAGACGGGATGCTGGACTAGATGGACCAGTGGTCTGACCCAGCAGGGCTCTTCTTATGAAGGGAAGGCCTCGGCCTCTCTGCCCTGTTGTTGGCCCCCCAGAGGAACTGGTTGGCCACTGGGTGAGATGGGATGCTGGACTAGATGGACCACTGGTCTGACCCAGCAGGGCTCTTATGAAGGGAAGGCCTCGGCCTCTCTGCCCTGTTGTTGGCCCCCCAGAGGAACTGATTGGCCACTGGGTGAGACGGGATGCTGGACTAGACGGACCAGTGGTCTGAACCAGCAGGGCTCTTCTTATGAGTATGGATCTTTGTCGTACCCCCTCCACTACACTGAAGTGACCTTACAAATATATCTGTCCTTCACTTACCAACCTTGTCAAGTGGCCACAGATAGAACTCCTGCACCTCTCCATCCCCCACCTGAGGCACAAAGTCTTCAGGCAGCTCAAGGTCAAATACAAACTGGCATTCAGGGTAGATTTCCCCTTGTGCCCCCACGTAGGTGTAACTGGGAGGAGAGTCGACAAAGGAAAGTTTTAGTAGGACATACAACAAAGGTCTTGCTTGGAGAAATACAGACTACAAATAAGCGGGGGAGACTGTTCAGACTATGTTCTGAGGTCACTCTTTAGGATCTGCCTTGAATCTGCGTGCCTAGAAGGGACGCCCTGTTTTCCAGCCACAAACTATTTCTCTGTCTTGGACCTACTTTCATGAACTCAGAAGGGTGTTTAGATGCAGCCGTTAGCGCTTACACGCTTCTAAACTTCTAGCCACGGTGACTAAAGGGAACTTCCACGCTCAGGAACACTAAACCTCTGGATCCCAGTGCCAGGAGGCAAGATCAGGGGAAGGACTTGGCCTCTATGGCTTGTTCTTGGCCTTCCAGAGGAACGGGTTGGCCACTTCATGAGAGAGGACGCTGGACTGGATGAATCACTGGTCTAATCCAGCAAGGCTCTTCTTTTGGACACAATAGTGCTCAAGAAGAAGAAAAAGAAATTGGATTTATATCCCGCCCTTCACTCGGAGTCTCAGAGAGGCTTACAAACTCCTTTCCCTTCCCCGCCCCACAACAGACACCCTGTGAGGCAGGTAGGGCTGAGAGAGCTCTTTCAAGAACTGCCCTTTCAAGGACAGCCCTGACAGAACTATGGCTTGCCCAAGGTCAACCAGCAGCTGCAAGTGGAGGAGTGGGGAATCAAACCCAGTTCTCCCAGATTAGAGTCCACGCACTTAACCACTACACAAAACTGGCTCCAGCTATTTGCTACATGAAAGCAATCCTAAATTCCATAACTCAGCAAAAAAAAAAAAAAAAAACCACGCTTTCATAGCTTTACTTCTGTGATTCAGCTTTTCGATTAGTCTGCATCTGTTTGCGGCACAGCAGGGGAAAATAATAACGACGGACGTGACACACTGGATTTAGAAGGCCACGGAAACAGAAAGGAACATCCATTGGGCCACCCTTAGAATGCTGGTCCCCATTAAGTGACTGTGCAAAAATCATTTTGCACTCTTGATTTCAAGTCTGCAGACTTATCTCTGCGCTAGGAGAGTTAGAAAACGGTTTTCTTTACCAAAGTTCTCAGCAAAATACAGGTTTCTGGAATTGTGCAATGAACTTGGCACCTGCATGGAATATAAACAGCCCTTTTTACGTATCCCCTGACGGTCGGCGGTTTGCCTTGTCTGTGTTAGCCCAGGAGCAAAGCCCTTTGTAGCTGTCAACATGCAACTTCAACGATGCGGCCGTGCGTTACGATCTCGAAAGTGTTATGATCTTACGTGACAGTCCCCACGGGCTTGGCTTGTGCAGCGAGGGAGGCAGGTATGCAAGCTTCTTCCTGGCACTCCTTCACCAGCGTCTCTCTGACCCCCAGCCCTGACGCAATGCCACCAGCGGCCTACAGGAAGGAAGACAGATGAGATTCTTGCAAGGAACTGCCCCAAAGCTTGCGTCTTGCCACTGTCCCTACCCTAGCAAAGGCTGTTGCTCCACAGTCCCTCCTTCCATCCGTCAGAACAGGGTGCCCAAACGACAAAGTATCATCAGCAGTGTTCCCTCTAAGCTGAGTTAGTGTGAGCTAGCTCACAGCTTTTTAGCCTCTGGATCATACATTTTTTGTCTCGGCTCAGGAAGGAGGGCTCCAGAGCTGACTAATTTATGCAGCAGCCAAATCCCTCGCTCACAACGTTCATGCCAGTAGCTCACAAAGTAGAATTTTTGCTCAGACGACTCCACAGCTCAGAGGGAGCATTGGCCATCAGTCTCTGTAGTACGGCAGTTGGCAGAGGGAAGAAATGAGGCATTTCCCTGTTTAGTTTATTTGCTTTTTAGCCCACCCTCCCCTTTTTATCCACCATAGAGTTACTTTTTCCGCACCATAGAGAACAATGGAGGGAATAGGGGCAACCTGTTTGGGGGCCTGTAGAATTGGACCCCCTGGTCCAATGTTCTTCAACCTTGGTTGGTATCTTGGAGAGAGGCTCCAGCAGCTACCCTATGAGTTTGGAGCCTATCCCTCAAACCGCCTCCCCTCCAACCCCCAGAATATACCCTATGTTTTTGCCATTGACTTCAATGGCCCATAGGATATAATGGGGCCGAAATTGACATTTGGCTGGCCCTTTTTCAGGCCCAGCGTTCTAGCGAGGAGCCTGAAAAGGGGGGGGGGCCTGTGCAGGCCGTTTTTCAGGCCCGGTGCTCCAGCACGGAGCCTGAAAAAGGTGACCATAACTTTTTAAAGAGCCCCTACCGAGAGTTGGGGGAGCCAGAATGACCTCTCGCGTGTGAGGTGGAATTTGCCCCTACGAGTCCAAAGCCACCACCCTGGGGCTCAGGGAGGTGGGGGAACGTTTCCCCCCCACACACCGTGTCCCAACTGATGGCTGGTGGGAGCAGGGGGCGGGGCTTATGTGCCCGCCCCCTGGGCTCCTGACTGGTGGAGCGGTGCTCTGGTGCGCTCCGGCAGGAACCGAGGCCTGGTTGTTATTATCAGTCCTGTAGAAAGTGGGTGGAGCCAAGTGGGGCAGCAATGCTTCCGACTGGCCAATCAAGAATCGATGGGCTGTGCAGATTTTTAAAGGCACTGCTTTGGCGGCAGCTGCCACCTCAGTGCAAAATCGTCACGGTGTGCCTGAAGGTAAGCTGCGGCAGCCATTTTATCACTGCCTCTGCCTCCTGCAGCATCCACTTTTGGCAGCCATTTTGTGGCTGCGCCCATTGTGCTGTCAGAACTCCAAGCGTACCCACAGGCAAAAAGGGCTTAGGGATCTCTGGAACAGGGCAACTGCTGACCCACCTAGCTCAACGTTCTCCCTTTCTGTGTGAGTGAATGGGGGTTTATCACAAAACGTGTCCTCCAAACCAAATCAGGGAATGCTCTAGAGAAGTCCTTCCCATCGGGTCACTTACGAGGTTGTCCAACAGGCCAGGGTAAGTGGGTTTGTTCTGGGCCCGACGACCCAACCACATAAACAACTCCCCCTTTCGCCATGTGTAGCCATTCAGGTGGGTGCCGTAGCGCTTCACCCCCAACAGTGCTGGATGGTGAGAGAGGAAGAAGTACTCCTTTACTTCGCTTCCTTGCCGAGACTCAAAGAGGCTTACAAAGGATTAAAAAATTTCAATCAGGCAGCATAAGATAGACAATGAACAATGCAGTAGGGCTTGGGTACTGGGAAACAATGCAGACAGACAAAAACCCTGTCTCAGACATCACGTATGATGCAGAATGTAAGCATTACAATAGACTACAATTCTATCCCCTTATTAGTAGCATACATATAAAAATAAAGACTTTTAGGATTTAGTTGGAGCAACCAAAGAAATAATAGTATGAATATGACTCTTTTCTGCGGCGTCACCCTGTTTAAGGATATACACTCTGCCCCATCACAACCTCGTTCTGTAACAAGGAAATTGTCCAGATCAGATGGATCACTGATGCCTGCATAATAGATTTAGTGCGAAGCTTAGAATGACTTAGAAGCTGGGATATGTTGGCCAGGAAGAAGAGGTGGGGAGGGGACCGGCCATCATCAAATACCCAGAAGCCATGGCCGATAAGCACAGGAAACCTCTCTAAGGCACCCATTGGTTATGGAGCAGATACTTCTCACACAACGTCAGAATTGTTTCCTCCATAGTCCTCAGGGTGGGTAAAGCAAAAGCCAAGGTTTTTCAAGAATCCACGTTTTGTGCAGATGGCGTTCTGGGGTTTCCGTTTTCGTTTTATGTACTTATGGTCCGCTGTTCTCACGGAGACTCAAGGTGGGTTACACAGTATCAGTCAATACGATCAATGGGGCAGGACATCCAATAAGTAATGTAACAGGACTGGGATTGCAGAACTCTGAAGCCAAGCTTGAGTATTGACATGACGTGTAACACAATGCAGAAATTACGCAGGTTCATACATACAGCAACAGATAGTACATACTATAGGTAAAAGTAAAGGTTCCCTTGCTCGAAAACCAGTCGAATCTGACTCTAGGGTTGCGGTGCTCATCTCCGTTTCAAAGCCGAAGAGCCAATGCTGTCCGAAGACATTTCCGTGGTCATGTGGCCGGCATGACTAAACACCAAGGCACACAGAACGCTGTTACCTTCCCACCAAAGTGGTACCTATTTATCTACTTGCAATTTCTTGCTTTCGAACTACTAGGTGGGCAGGAGCTGGAACTAGAGACGGGAGCTCACTCCGTCATGCGGCAACTCGGGGTCTCGAACTACTGAACTACTGACCTTCCACAGCCTGCAGTTCAGCGTCTTAACCACTTGAGCCACCGCATCTCCAGTACATACTATACACAGCAGTAATAGTCCATGGTCCCCTTTCCTTTACTAAAGCATCTTTCTGAATTGTTCCATTAGACTATTGCCTTATTACCAGTGTTCCCTCTAAGCCGAGTTAGTGTGAGCTAGCTCACAGATTTTTAGCCTCCAGCTCACACATTTGTTGTCTTCGCTCAGGAAGGGAGGGCTCCGGAGCAAACAAATTTAATGCAGCAGCCAAATCGCTCCCTCACAACTTGAATGCCAGTCGTTCACAAAGTAGAATTTCTGCTCACAAGACTCCATGGCTTAGAGGGAGCATTGCTTATGACCTAGGTAAAAATGCCCTCCTGAATAAGTCAGTTTTACACAGAATCTCAAGGCTGAGGCCTTGTCCTGTGTACCTGTGACCGATCACTGCAATGGCTGTTTATTATGAGGCAAGGCGCTGACAAGGATGGCCCGGGCTAGTCCAACTGTAAAAGCGAAGCAGGGTCAGCCCCTGGTTAGTACTTGGATGGGAGGCCACCCAGGAAGTCCCGGGTTGCTACGCAGAGGCAGGCCATGGCCAACCAACCTCTGGTTGTCTCTACCCTGACCTGGATGTCCCAGGGAAACCTGATCTCGTTAGACCTCAGAAGCTAAGCAAGGTCAGCCCTGATTAATATTGGGATGTGAGACCACCAAGGAGCTCCAAGGTGGCTACGCAGAGGCAGGCAATGGCAAACCAACCTCTGATTGTCTCTGATCTAGATGGCCTAGGCTAGCCCAATCATGGAAGCTAAGTGGAGTTAGCCCTGGGTTGGTACTTCGATAGGAGACCACCAAGAAAGTTCAGGGTTGCTGCACAGAGGCAGGCAAGGGCAAACCGCCTATGAACGTCTCTTCCCTCGGAAACTAGAGCGTCCCTGGTTGTGACCTGATGGCCCTTTTCTACCGCCATGAGGAAATGCGTTGTCTCCACCTCCAAGCAGAGCACGTGGCCCCTCAAGCCCTTTCGCGTCGTTCTCTCACAAGCATCAATCAAACAACGGCGTTTTAAAAAAGCCATCTGGACTCACGCGTGGCAGCGCGCTCCATGCCAAAGAGAGGCAGGTCACAAAAGTAAGGCATCACGTTGTAGAGCTGAAAGAAGAAGAAAAAAAATCGAGTTAAGGGGCACTTCTGGCTCCTAACCTGCCACCCTCTTCCTAACCAGAGCAGGAATTCTAAACGGCATCCTTCCCGAGTGGCCTTCCTTGAATTCCTTTCCTTGCCAGAAAGAAAAAACAGAAGCGGCGTGGGGCCACCCCCAAACTGACACCCTGGCTGCCGGCGCCTGAGGGCCTCACCTCTTCTCTCCACTCCTTCAGGCAGGGGAACGCTTTCTGTTCCCTCAGCTCCTTGAGAACCCCTTGCACAGCGGCCGTTCGCTCCTCAAAGGAGGCCAGGTGCTTGTTCAGCTCCAAGCAAGTGGGGGCCTCGTCCCCCTGAGACACCGAGAAAACAGCTGGATACTGTCGGAGACGCTGGGCCACGGGCTGTGGCACGTGGCCCACTTGCTGTCCGGCCACCAGAAAAGGCAGGCACAGGGCCTTTGGAGAACCTAGAAGGGAAGCGATCCACATAAATGGCCTAATCCTCAGGCCTAAAGCCTCAACCTGACTTGGATAGCCCAGGCTAGCCTAATCTTGTCAGATCCCAGAAGCTAAGCAGAGTCAGCCCTGGTTGGTATTTGGATGGGAGACAGACAAGGATGTCTAGGATTGCTAGACAGAGACAGGCAATGGCAAAACCACCTCTGAATGTCTCTTGGCTTGAAAGCCTCATTGGGTTACTATAAGTCAGTTGTGAGGGCAAAAGAAGAAAGCCAGAAGTCAAATTTTAAAAATGTTATTTCTGTTATTTGCAATCTACCTTCCTCTCTGGCACTCAAGGAGAATTACACAGAGTAAATCAACACAATCAATGGAGTGGGGGCATCCCATAGACAGTGCAATAGGATTTGACTTGTGCAAATAGGGAAACCAACCAGAGGTGCAGCACAGCATAAGTATTAAACAAGGAACATTAAACGAAAACTAGAAGTGGTCTTTGCTTAAGAATTCCCTATGCAACCTCCTATTTCTATAATAATAATAATAATTAATAATAATAATAATAATAATAATAATAATTTGCAGCAGGTATAGAAAGTCTTTTTTTTAAAGTCCTTTAAATCAGTGATTCCCAAGCTTTTTGATATGGTGACCCGGAAGTCCAAATGTATTTGGTACAGTGACCCTACCAGGGCTGGCCCAGGGTTTTGGGTGCCCTTGGCAAACTAAGAAGCTGAAGCTGCAGTTCAAGACCCGAGTGCCGCATGATGGAGTGAGTTCCCGTCTCTAGTTCCAGCTCCTGCCAACCGAGCAGTTCGAAAGCAACAAACTGCAAATAGATAAATAGGTACCACTTCGGGGGGAAGGTAACAGCGTTCCGTGCGCCTCAGCGTCTAGTCATGCCAGCCACATGACTACGGAAATGTCTTCGGACAGTGCTGGCTCTTCGGCTTGGAAACGCAGTAGAGTTGGATTTGACTGGCTTTCGAGCAAGGGAAACCTTTACCTTTACCTCTAGGCAGACTATGACCTTGACACCCATGTTGTTCAGCATTCCATTTTCTACAGTGGCCAACCGGATGTTTTTGAGAAACCACCAAACTTTGCACAAAGATTGCAGCGGCCCCCACTATGGACCCCAAGCAAGTGGCATTTTGCATTACAGAGGTTACATTCCAGCCTTTCCTTCTCCATTACTCCTTCTAATCTCCTCTAAGAGCCTAAGGAACTCGCTCTAGTAACTATCAGGACACATTTCACATGATCAACATAGATATGCAGTGAAGAAATAATACCAATTAATGTATGAGATGGAAAATACTGCTTCCAGTGTCAGATCTTGATTTCCAGACGACAAAAGAGCCCTGGAAAGGGCAGAGGCAGCCATCAGGGAAGGCTGGTCTGCGAGTCCCACTTTCCGAAGCTTTGCGACCCACTTTCGGGTCACAACTCAAATACAGGGTCAGGACTCAGAAGTGGGAAACACAGCTTTTAAATGAAACTGTTCCTACTTCTAGGACATGCTGTACACACTTGTACACACACAAAGGCTCACAGAGCATGACTTCTTGAATACCGAAGTTAGCAAAAGCTCGTTCACAGTTAACCCAATGCACTGTAAGCGAGACTGCGGTGGACAAGCACACATGAATGTGGCAAAGGTCACAGATCTTCTTCTTTAGAAAGGAAAATTCCCGGTTCAGATCGAGGCAGGGAGGGGAGAGGGGGAAAGGTACCTTTCAGTCCCTGCAAGGTTTCACAGACCAAAACCAGCCCTCCCTCTGTACTGTTGTTAGCATTTCAAAGGAGTATATATATTTTAAAAACCACATCCCTAAAACGTTTTCCCTTATAAATACTAATTTGAGTACATCTCGCTAACTGGAATACCAGTTGCATGTACAGCTGTAATCAACCTGGTAGAGATGAGTTATGATCTACAAACTTCATTCACAGTGCAATCCTAAGGGCACTTCCTTGGTAGTAAGCCCCATTCATTAATATTATAATTACTTTTGAGTAGACCCATTTAGGATTTCTTCTGAAATCTTTTTTGACCCTGAGTTCGCCAGGATGTATTTGTGCATGGCTGCTTTAGTTTTAGCACTGTTTAAGGGGCTTTTTCCTAATTCCCCACTCATACTGTTGTTTTTCCTCACTATTGCTGCCTTTGTTCAGACGCATCATTTTAGAGGTCCACAGCTGGAAACCCCCAAGCCAGATGTGCTCTCTGGGAAGTTCCACTGGGCTCCGCAGTTCCTAATCTGGGACAGTTATTTTTGGCAACATAATTTATTCATAAGTCATTTTAGGGGACAGGAGTTGTGGTTTCAGCTGGCAGGGAATAGAAATAAAGGTGGCCTTCCCAGAAAACACCATTCATTCACTCATTCATTCATTCATTCATTCATAACATCTAGAATTTAATATTCCGCATCCATCTTCAGCAAGTAAGATGCATGATCTTTATTTTCCTATTGCTGGTCACTTTCCACCTATTCATAAATAGATGAAGCTGGCTTAGATCTAGTGAGAGGTCCATCTGGCTTGGTAGTAATCTGTTCGGACTGCTCTCCTAGATCTCCGGTGGAGAAAGGTCTTGCTCTTTCCCAGCACCTGCAACGTGAGTTCCAGCAACTAAGATTGCACCTGGGATTTTGTGGGGTTGCCAACTCCGGGTTGGGAAACTCCCGGAAATTTGGGGGTGGATCTTGGGGAGGATATATAATACAGTAGAGCTCGCCCTCCAAAGCAGGCATTTTCTCCAGAGGAACTGATCTTTGCAGTTAGGAGGTGCTCTGTGATTCCGGGAGATCTCCAGGCCCCACCTGGAGGCTGGCAACCCTAACAGCAAGACATGGGCTCTGCCACTGAATGGGGGGGTCCCTTTTCCTCCCCCCCTCCCCCATTATATGCCAGCCAGATCCTGCTTTAAGACGCAATTCCCTAGGAAACCTCGTTGTCCCTCCGCCTTCCGCAGCCCCACCGGCTCCGTGGAAAGAATTCATCCGTCGCAGCAGCTCTCGGACCCGCTCAGACCACCCTGGAGCCGCCATGATCCCTGCGCTTGAAAGCCCCGCCTCCCAGCCAATCACATTTCGCTCCTGTAGAAAGTATAGCGCTGATTGTCTCCACTGGCCTGCCAATTGTGATCAAAGAGTGATGGTCCCCGCCCCCGAGCGGGAGGGGGAGAGAGTTTGGCGGAAACTTAAAGGTTTTAAGTCAGATATAAATATCTAAATAAATGTAGGCTCTAATTATAATTTTCTCGTTGGGGTTTCAATAGTTGTTAATGATCTTTGTAGCGTATTACTTCTTATGTTTTGCTTCATTAGCTTCCCCAAGCCGGCCACCATAGAATTTTCCCAAATAAACACAGCGAGCTGGGAAAAGAGGTGCTACGGTTGCCAATCTCCAGGTGGCAACTGGAGATTTCCTGCTATTCTTGTGGGTCTCCAGACAACCAGTTCCCCTGGAGAAAACGGCTGCTTTGGAAGGTGGACTCTATGGCATTATATCCTGCTGAGGCCCCTCGCTTCCCCAAACTCCCCATTCCCAGGCTCCACCCCCCCCCCCAAAGGGGCAATGCCGCTTGGAATTCAGGCGTGCAGGGCCAGTGCCCTCCAGCTGGAAGCGCTTAAAGGGACCCTTTAACACTTTGAGGTGATGACAACCCAATGAGCCATCTACATTAAGCCAGTACACACCTACCAAGGCAAAAAATAAATCCCCCCCCCGGCTCTTTTTGTAGCAGGAACTCCTTTGCATATTATGCGACACACCCCTAATGTAGCCAATCCTCCAAGAGCTTACAGTAGCTCCTGTAAGAAGAGCTCTGTAAGCTCTTGGAGGATTGGCTACATTAGGGGGTGTGGCCTAATATGCAAAGGAGTTCCTGCTACAAAAAGAGCCCGGAAACAACCAATCAGGTGCCTCTGAATTCTTCCAGCCAGAGCATGAAGGTACTGGGCTGTCCCGATTGGTGGCCTCAGACTCCGTTATTCAGAGGTATCCTGCCCCTGTACATTGTAGGACAAGGGGAAAAGGAATGTGTTTTCTGAATGTGAGTTATGACATTTCCTCTGACATGTTTATATGCTAACAGCTGTCGCTGTGCCCTCATAAGAGTTTAACCATAGTAAATTCAGATTTTGGTATTTAGCCCAGATGGAAGGAGGACGGTTAACTCTGGAAGTGTTCTCAAAACATCTGGTGCTGGGAAACCTGCCAAGAACAAAGTTTAATGTGAATCACAGCCCTTATCAGCTAGCTCTCCAAAAGCAAGCCATGAGGCTGACTTCAGCAAGGCCAGAAAGGCTCCCAGTGTTCTTCAGTGTTTCGCATTGTTCTGGAGACCAGACAAGGAAGTGTAATTACTGACACCAATAAGAGACGCACTGGGTCAAGTGATGCTTCTATGATGTTACCTGCTGGGCTCCAATTAGAGATTCTTTAATGTGTAAACTATATTTGATGTCATTTGGAGTATAATACCTTCTGCCCTTCCTGGTTATGGCAGGATACAGCTTGGAATTGCTGAAGTGCTAAGGTACTCAGCCCCTGTATTCCCTGTTTCCATTGCAATAAACAGATTCATCTAACTCGTTGGACTCCCAACTGTGTGATTCCAATTTGGCCAAGGGGTCACAGATGTGTGCATCAACATGGAGGTTCCATTTAGCTAATATGGCTCCTAAGACCAAACAATTTGAAAGAACCAGACTGAGCCAGACTAAACTTAGGGAAACGAGTTTTTAAATTATTATTTTAATATTATAATTATTAATATTACACTTTTAAATATTTTTACAGCTTTCTTCGTTTTTTTTTTTTAAAGGTTCTGGCTTCTAAAGAATTTTTAAAACAATGGCCAGTAGAAAAATAACCAAACTCTGAAAAACCAAAGGCGCTCCTCGGCGCTACTCACAAAGTTAGGGGGGTTGGAGAGGCAGGAACCGGGAGGGGTTGGGAGGATTGTGGCGGTTTGGGAGCAGGTTACATTAGGGTGTGATGCATCTGGAGGGACAGTTCACAAAGAGACCCACAATTCTATTATATACAAAAGCAACTAGGGTTCAATGGCTGTGCAGATATCCCGCTCTGGAGCAAACTATCCGGTGGGAAGGTGGTCGCCCCGTCCTTCAAACTCCCCCCTTTGGAGGGCAGCGATGGAATCTTCCTTCCTCCAGTGTGCTGCAACATTAACTCACCCCTCTTCTAAGCCATGAGACACCACAAGTGGAATGGTACCCAGGGGCTGAGGCACCACCCTCCAACATCTGGGGCCAGAACCGAGGTGTTCCGGCCGCCGATCCCTGGGGAACCCTTTCTCCGATCTTGGCTCCGATGCCACATGTGAATTTGCCAGTCATTCACACAGGCAAAAAGGCCAGAGAAAAGTCGGAGCTGGGGCAGCGGGGGTGGGTGGGGGATAGAAGCAGAAAAAAGAAAGAAACCCATATTTTGAAAGAATTTAAAAAGGACCTTTGGCCGCATGCTCACGATCTCGTCTCCCGGTAAACCCCATGCAACCCACCAGCCGTGTGACGGGGGCTCGCCGGGAACTGCGTGAACCTTCTGTTTCTGCTCGCTACCCGGGACTGCTAAAACAGGAGGGGAACAGTTGAGCCCTTGAAAGTCACAATACGCAGCTGGTGAGGTGTGTGGTGGCGGGTCACAAGTTGTACAGGCTCGGTGGCCAATGAGATCCCCGCTCCCATGGTCCAGATCCTAGCCACCCGTCCCCTGCAGATGCAATGATCATCTCCAAAGGAGAAATTGTTTTCATTAACTAACGGTGCCATGCTAGGAAAGCGCTACTGGCTTGGCCATTTTTTCTCGCGCTGGGCCCAGTTACCCCAGTGGGCCACAGCATAGGAGAGACGGCTGGCTTCTTTCTCCCTTAGAATCCCCGCAACGAAGGGAAACGCCAGCGCCGTATGCCGGACAAAGAATCAAGAACACCTTTGATTCCGTACCACCGTTTCCCGTGACGGCTCGATATAAGGCAGAGGGTGGGAGACACACACGAAGGAATCGACAGGATCATCTCGCCCCCATCCCGTTCCAACCCACTGAACGGCAGACCTCCGCGCTCGCACCAGAAACAGAACCCGAGAGTTACGACTGCCGTTCCCCGATTTTTTAGATCTCCTGCCTGGCATCTCAATTCCCTTGCATCTTCAGCTCTCGTAAAAACGATCTGGGCAGAGCAGGATGGAGAAAGAGTCTCACGGTAACCATAGTCTAGCCTTGGATGTTGGGCCAGAAGGATTGTGTTTTACCATAGAGGCACCGGCTTTGACGGCATGGAAGGACGGCAGGGCTCGGGTTTGACTGCCAAGGTTTCGCAAATCGAGAGAGCCGGATTCTGAGCTTGCTGCTTTTTCTGTTGTCGAGCCAGAGAATAACCCTCCGTCCAACTCAGTGGCCGATATTCTTGGGAGACGCTTCTGTCCAGGGCAGACTTGGGAGCCACTTGAGGGTTCTTGCTTAGGGGAGGGGGGGAAAGCATGTGCAAGATAAAAAGTCCCCCCCCTCCATTCTCCTGATCTCTCATTCGACTCCAGCGCCTGCCTCCTGCGCTTCTCTCCACCCCAAAGACCAGAGATCTCAGAACTGGACAGCAAGAGTATTTTGTTGGGGACTGACGATCCTTCAGTGTACAGTTCATCGAGTATTTGGATGGGGGAACCTACGAGATGGTAGAACTAGACGCGGTCTGTTCTGGGGGAGCCTCCGAGGCGGCAGGGCTGGACGTGGCACACCTGCCCCTACCCCCTAAATCGAGACAGGCCCTGGCACCGTTCTTGTCCAATGGGCTAACAGCTTCCTGCTTTTCCGCCAAGGGGGTAATAAATTATATCCTGAAACCGTCTGCCTGGGATCTGGGTTACGACAGCAGGTTTCTGGGCTATTAAATTGCTGGTGAAAGGATCTTGATCCTAAGCTGGTCCCCTCCCCTGGGCCACGACTATCCCCCATCCCACTTTATGCGTAAGAACAGTGTTCCGCCCCTATCTTCCTAGCCATAAGACACAGAGCTTCTCTTCTTTAAAGTGCTTGCTGCATATCTCTTTTTGCAAGGATCGGTGTCCTCAAAGACCTGGCTCCAGGCCACTCTGATGCATGTGGGAAGATACCCGGAGGTCTTCCAGACGAGTAACGGGCAAATGCTGGCCTACGGGCTACTCCCATCCCTGCCCCGGTTCTTCCTGTCCCCTAACACTCTCTGTGCCGAGATGGAAACCGTGCAGAAGTCCGACGTGCTGCTTTTCGGCCCGATTTCACTTGGCCGGGATCCCTAGGGAACCCGGCGAGGGAGGGGAGGTAGTCAGCTTGGCGTCACTCTCCCTATAAGCAGGCTTAAAGTGTGCTATTGGAGCGTAGAGACAACCCAGGAGTCCCAGCATCCGTGTCTTCTAGACAGGCCTCTGCTTTCTGTGGCAGGGCGGAGCATGGGGACCAGCGTTCTCCTAGACTCCACCCTTTCCCCTCCCTTATCTCTTAGATCTCACGTCTGAGTGCAAAGGTATGGGGATCCCCTTGAGTACAGGACAGGCCGCTACTCAGCATCCACTGTAAACAGAGCTGTCTGAAAGGGACGGTATTTCCTAGAGAATGGTCAAACACAGGGGGGCTTTCTCTGCCACAAGTCCCTCCATAAAGTTTAAAAAATGGATGCTCTCGGCCCACAGGTGGAGTCACGCGTCCCTCCCTCTCTCTCTCTCTCTCTCTCTCAAACACTGGGGTGGGGGATGTTCCTACACAGTTTCAAGGGCCCGTTTACTTCCTACCGCGGTCCCTTCCTTTGGTTCCCCACTCCTAAAATATACCTCCCGGCAACTCACGCACACACAAAAACAGGTTGCCCCGAAGTTGGATGCAAGGAGGACGGGTGGGAGGGTCCCCAAAAATATCAGGGACGCAACAGAGATTTGTTTAAAAGGAAAAGAAACAGAAAGGGGAAACCCCACCCGCCGAGAGGTGCTGTCCCTTTTCGAGGCCCCACCCTCTTGGTCCGTCTTGAGTTACACAGGGCGCGAGGTGACTGGCGGTCCCC